CCCCTCGTGCTTCCGCCGAAAGTAGAAACGGCTTCCCATTTTCATTAAACCAGTCCATATAGTTATCCGTAACCATATGACCAGTTTCAGCGTAATATTGTCGAGGGGCCAACAGTGTATATCGGTTCTCCCAAAGCGCAATCCAATCTCTGTGTCTCACCACCCAGTTAACATCTTTCTTTCCCCGTCTATCTATGTTATGCACGTCATCTAAATTTCTAGGAGCTCCAGGAATATATTGCGTACAACCATACTGACGGAGCACGCGATCAACTGGATGCCACTCAATAATAGCATAACATATAAGAGGTATAACCGATATCCATACCTCTAATGACCCACTAAGGTGGGGTGGGATGCAAGCTTTCACTTCATCGCTCGCATAAGGTATCCACTGAAACTGAAATATAAATATACAATTCAAATAAATAAAATATTCTAATTATATCTAATATTTTAAATTAAAATATTAATAATTAAACAAATTTAAAAACATACCTCAGACCCAGCTTTCGTATCAATAAGTAAACGAATTTCCTCTAACCCAGTAGGTATACTTTTATGGTCCTTTCTTTTCATCGACCACCTATGAAATATAATATAAACTAAATATCACCCTATTTAATTGAAAATATTTAAATCAAAATTTAGTTCGAAAATTACCTCAACAATAAGGGAAATACGTATGGTTCATTCACGATCGGGCATAAGAAAGGCATGCGGAACCACGCCCATGATTGTAGAAGCAGAAGACATCCACCGATAGCAGTTTTCTTATAATTCGTCGCCCGACACATTTCTCTAAAGAGAAATGCCAAAACTGCAGCACCCCAACTATATCTTCCAGCTTCATCAAAATCGATCAGATGCCGCAACCACATACAATGCACCTGGTTGCGAGATTTGTCGGGCATCAATATTCCTCCAATTATTCGTAGAATATATGCCCGAGCACATGCCTTTGCTTGATCCTCTGAAGCATTTTCATTTAAAACCTCAAAATTAGCTTTCAACCAAGATAAAGCTATTCTACCTCCATTAAACTCTGGCGGAGCAGCTCCAAGATAATCAATGCACATTGATTGCCAATCACCATCCGCCATACCACACATCATATTTCCGTCGACGGGAAGCCCCAGATGCATAGAGACATCCTCCAATGTAATTGTTGCCTCTCCACATGGAAGGTGAAAAGTGTGTGTCTCAGGCCTCCACCTCTCAATCAGTGCAGAAATTAGGACAGGTTCGAGTTTGCAACCGCCTATAATTGTTGCAATATACCCGAACCCAGCAGAAGCCAAATATGGCAAAATACGTTCCGGTGTCGGTATACGTGGATTTTTAATAAAAGTTTCTAAAATACGATCAGCATCCTAAATAATATATTATAAAAAGTAAAAATTAATATAAATTCATAATAACTTTAAAATAAAAATAAATTTAAATATTAACATTAATTATAAAAAATATTACCACATCGCTAAAATGTCTGGAGATATGATCAATATCCAATCGCAACAGCGTTTCGTTTTCCATTATAACTGTAGACAAAACAATATAATTAGCAAAAAAATTAATAATTCTAAATAAATAATAATTATATAATATTATTTTAATAAAAAAATAATATTTACATAAATATTATATAAAAAATAATAACTATTTAAAAAAATACTAACATAAAAATAAATTTCTTACCACTAATAACAAATTTAAAACTCAAATAGTTGGAGAATTTGAGTTATATAAGAGAGGAGAAGATGATTTTGGTGTGAAGAATGAGTGAGGGTTGAGGGGGTTTATATAGGGGAGGAGGAGGGGTAGTTAGGAAAAACGGATGGGGGCATTTGTGACATTTAATGGAAGGCGCGTTCCCGGGGATGCGCCTTCCACACGTGTCTGCTGATATGGCAAAGGCGCGTCCCCGGGGACGCGCCTTTCACACGTGGCATCCAACTCAGCGAAAACACGGGTAAAGCGCGTCCCTGGGGACGCGCCTTTGCCAACTCAGCAGAAAGGGTGCTAGTTTTGGAAATATTGGTCGAACGGTGTTAGAAAAGTAAAATTAAAAACAAACGGTGTCAGTTATGTAATTTAGCCAAATTAAAGAGTCAAGTCACCTAAATCAGTCGCTAGGTAGAGCTAACTCGACATCAAAGTCATTAACTATAGTTGATTTTGCAGCCGCCAAACGTCCAATGTACACATATAGTCTGTTTATAGTCGTTGGTTTGACCATTCCTTTCAATAGTGACATATTCACCTTGCTTAAATAACATAAGTCACTCTAATTAAAGCTATTCTTCCGTTTGTTTGTATTCTTAATCATTAAAAATGAATCTCTCCTTACTCGTATGTTATTTTAGGTCAACAACATTCATTTTTTATTCTAAATATTTTTATAAAATAAAAGTAGAAAAGTATTTATAATTTTATTTATTATAAATTAATTTCCAGAGAAAAATATATCACTGGAACCCATCAAATATTTTTTTTGCATTATCTTCATTAATCACTCTACACCTAGACCTACAACTTTAAGGGGAGATGATAAATTTCTATCAATTTTCTTTCCAACAAACAAGGAGTCTCCCACATCCAACAGAAAGTTTTATTTTCCCGGCTCTTCTCTTATTTGAGGATATTTTCCCCACATCCACCATGTACAAGTGTTACTCTTTACCTATGTCTGAAACGGTGAACCGTTTACTCTCTTCGCTGATTAATCGTCGAGATATCTTTATTCAAGCTATCCCTATTAGAGATGACTCCTTAGGGAAATACATTTATGTGCAATTGTACAAGATGTTTGTGCTCTTATTAGTAGTATAAGATATTTTAGTTAGTACAACTCGGGATATCTCTTTAATGAAATGTCTTTATTGAGATGGCTATTGCCATTTATTCTATATCCAAAACATAATGGATGAACTGTTTATGACTCTTCGTTCAAATCAAAATAAGATAATCACAATATTTATTAGATCTCTATGTTAGTTGTCTTTCTTGCATAGCGTGAGATGCTCATATTTGGGAAAACCATTATCTTTTAGATAATTTACCTGGTCATCTTACTTGTACAATGTGAGATGCCTCATAAATAAGATGTTCATATTGAGATGATCATTATATGCTATATCCTTCAGTTAGTCTCATTGATTATATATCGTGAAATATCTTCTTAGTAAGATGTCTGTTGGAATTATCGTTATCCCTTTATCCCTTCGTTAGACACATTGTTTGCATAATATAAGAAATTTCCTTTGCGATATGCCCGTGTTAGGATAATATTTATATGTTAGATCCTTTCGTTGATTGTCTTCTTTGCACATTATGAGATGCTTCCATAGCGAGCATTTATGTGTTCATTATCGAAGGAATAAAATTATTCCAGAAAAAAAGATACATGCGAGAATGAAAATTAAAACATTTAAAAGTCTAGGAATCAATATAGAATGATGATCATAATTTGGGGATAGATTTGGAATGATCAAAATTCTACAGACTAATTTAAAATGTGAGTCATAGTTTGAGAATGAAATTGAGATGTTTAAAATTTTAAGAATCAATTTAAAATGTGAGTCATGGTTTGAGGACTTGTAGTTGAATTAACTCAAACAGTCAAACTATAATAAAAACACGAAGTTAAGGTCCGATTTCCCAATTTCACCCCGACTAAGATTTCCGATTCCCCAAATAACCCCTCGCAACCAGTGTTTTGAAAATCGGATCGGACCGACCGGTTCAACCGGGAATCGTTGTCTACTCCGGTTCAATCTACACCGGTTGAACCGTTACTAGTGAACATGCCAGAACCGCTGAACCGTTCGAACCGGATTGGCTGAAAACCGGAAAAAAACCGAGAAAAACCGCAAATTTTATTTTATTTTTTTTTTAAAAATTAAACCAAACGACGTCGTTTGTTAAACGAGCCAAGTCGAACTCGAGTATTGCTGAGCTCGACTAGAACTTGAAAACTTTAAAAGTAAGCTCAACTCAACTCAAACTCACGAGCTAAAAATTATCAAGTTAATATCAAACTCGAAATATAATATTAAAACTTGAACTCTAAAAGGCTTGAACTCAAAAAATAATTAGAAGCTCGATTAAAGCCTAAAATTCGAGCTTCATTGAAGTGAAAGAATAGTTCACTCAATGCTCACCAAAAGGCTCCATAATTTTGAATGTCAAATTACCTCTATTATTTATAGAAGTTAGTTGTGATGCTCTTCTATGTTTCTTAGCCATGTGAAATTATTTTGTTCTCATATTTTTACTCTTTAGATTTTTGAGATGTTCTTCTATATTTCTTAGCAATGTGGGATTGTTTTTTAAAAAAAAAATTAAACCAAACAATATCATTTTGTTATGATTTTTTAACTCCAAATTTATTTTTTAATTATAGTTATATAATTATATTTATTATTTAATATGTTTTACCTTAAATATTATGTTGTAGTTAATTTGAATCATTTTGTTTCACTTGATTTTATGGTTTTTAACTTATATATGTTATAACTTGTTTTGAATATGACTTGTGATATAAAAAATTATTTTTTATTAAATATTTTTGATATTTTTATTTAAATTTTTAAATAATTATGACGTCGTCCGATTCTTTCGATCAATCGAACCAATTCAACCAATTAAACCAATGAACCAATAATATAATCGATTCACTAACCGATCCGATTCAAAAAATCATGATCGCAACAACCGCCTATAAAATCGAATGATATCTTTAATACCGAAAAATGACTCTTTATATACTTAAAGCAATCAAAATATTTTCATTTTCTTTCGGTGAAATTACGTAGTCAACCAAACCACGGGTCCAATCAAAATCGGCACGATGGCAGAACATTGTATGACAGCTGGCGACTTTATCATATCCCCCAATTTGGAACGTTGAATCCCATTGCTTTTCGTCCAAGAAAGGGTGATAGAAGCGCAAAGGAGGAAAAGGGTTCACGGAAAAGAAAAGAACGCCGACTCTGAGAACTCCGTTAACGCTGAACTATATAAGAGAAACACTTCGTTGTGTATAACAGCGTCGTTTAGTTTTCCGAGTTAGGGTTTTTTTATTGCCCTCTCTCTTCTTCCGTCGCCTCCTCCCCTCCTCCGCCTTCTCAAAGAACAAAGAGGGAGAGAGAGAAAAATATAAGTAAAAATAAATGAAAAACCCGTTCTTGTGAAGAGTGAATCACTACGAAATATATGTTGTCGCAGGTAATATCTTTTATTTTATTTTAATTCAGTGTTATTTTTTTCTTTTATTTTTAATGGATTTGATTCTTGAGTGCGGATTCGTTATAGATCAGGTTAGATCTTGAGATCTGCAGGTTGATGAATTGATTTTGTCGAACGACTAATTTTTTGATGGTTGATTTCTGTGAATATTGGCTTCTTTCGGGGATCAATAAAAATATGTTTTGAGAAATTAAGATTTCCTAAAAATGCTTATTTATTTGTTTTATTTGACTCGGCTTTTTGAGCCAAGATAAAAACATTAACATTTTTTAATTTAAATATTTCCTAAAACCTGTTTGTTCTTGACATGAATCGGCCTAGGATTTAAATTTCTGAGATAAGTTTGTTTGATTTAGTTTTGCGTTTTGAGGTCAACAGCGCTTTTTATTTACAAATTTTCATATTTTTAAGAAAAACGCTCAATTTTAAGGCAACGTTGTTTCTGTTACAAGGTTTATGAAATCAGTGCTATTGTTCCCAATTCTAACCTGAGTAAAAGTTTATAATTTATTTTAGATCGCCTTGATGTTCGATCTATAAATTTGATTGCTTAAAGAGAAGGAAATGAAAATGAAATTAAATAATTGTTAAACCATAATTTATCAAATTCTCTGCCACAATATTCTTAGGTGCTCTTCTTTGATGCAATAGGAGGCAGGGCTTCTTAACGTTGTAGAGTAGATAAGGAAGTCGCTTGCCCTTTTATGAATTGCTTGTAAAGTAAAAAATAAATGAAGAGGAACATGTACACGATGAACATGTGCAACATGGATATGTACAGCTTCAACACTAACTGCAGTTTTAGGTATGCTCCTCTTGCTGTATGGTGATTCAGACGAGTTCTGTTTGATATGCTTTCAGCCACTATTTTTGGTTAATTGCTTATGCACAGTCTGAAATTTGTTGTGAGCTGATATCCATGTCATTTAATGTCCCGACTTTTATTTTATTTTTTATTTTTTTCAGGATTTGCATAACAATTTTTAGGAGAGAGTTTCTTTAGGTTTGGTAGAAGATTAGCCTTCATAGTCGTTTTTGTGTTAGAAGTTTTGGCTTTAAGCTTGTTGATAGGGATTGATCTAGGTAGAAATGGAAGCACGGAACGCCATGGTATTGGATAGTAAGCCCGGGTTTCTGCATGGCAGGAAAAGAAAGCGGGCTGCGCAGCATACAAAATATTTTCCTGGTGCTTCGCAGATGATATTACCACAATTGCCCAGATTGAGTTTACCATCCCAGAAACATGGCAAGATGAGGAGATTAGAGGATCACAAAGGCAACGTTGTTAGATGTGATCGTCCTTCGAAAAGATCTTTGCTGCTTTGCTATACAAATTTTAAGAGAACAGGCATTCCAAAGCGCATAATGTTCTTTGAGAAAGGTGAATGGACTGATTTCCCCCAGGATCTCATTGCTTCAATTAGGAAAGAACTCCACACAAAGAAGCCATTTATTGAGCTGGAGAAAGATGGCCAATCTTTTGTGCTAGATTTCTTGCATATGTTCCGATTGGATCAGAAAACTGGCTTGAAACAACCAATAGCTTGGATTGATGAGGCAGAGGGATGTTTCTTCCCGCAGACTTTTGCTATAGAGGATGAGCCATATGAGGACTATGGACATGAACATGAGAATGATCATGAATCCATGTTCACTGGATCATATGCCCCTCCTGAGATCAACCTACATCTTGAAATTGACATTAATGGTGTTAATCAATCAAAGTTGAAAGAATGTAGCGGCGAGTCAAATTCTTTTGTTAGTAATGTTAAAATTGCTCAGAAATCTGCATGCAATTGTGATGTAGAAGTTGAGGATAATTGCAACTGGGATGTTGATGCAAAACAAAGCAAAATTGTTGAGGATATTCAACAAGCAAGGTTAAACTTGGTCCCTGAGGAGGAGTTTCTGGATATAGAGTTGAATGAACTGTTGGATTCTTCAACCGTTGAAAAGATGTTTCTTAAGGGTATGAGTCCATCCAGTGGTGTGGATATTATTGATGTAAAACCCTGCTCCAGCACTTCATCAAAGTATAGGTTAGAGCGCTTCCAGAAGCAGATAGAGATTATGAAGAAGTACCGGGGGAATGCGAATGTTAAATATACCTGGCTAGCTTGCTCTAAGGCAGCATTGCCTAGCATTAGGATGCATGGGCTTGCGGATTGTGGTCTTTCCACAATTCCACTGATATATGGCACCGGTGTTCATCTTGCTGCATCAGAAGTTACTAATATCAGGTTGGGGTTCTTTTTTATTTTTATTTTTGCTATGATCCTTAAATATGCAAATCTTCTATTGTTTAAATTTTCTTGGGAGAAATCGCTCAAAGGCTTCTATCATTATCTTTTAATGACTAATAGAAGCGATTTGTTTCAAGACTTTTGAACTGTCTACTTGTTTTGTTCTTCTACTTTTTTTAAGTCTCCTGAAAGGGAGCGTTATCATCTTCCACATTTATGGTTTCATGGATTCAGCTCTACTGTAATTTAGAGAAAATGCTATGTTAAGCTTTTTTGAGTGATTCTTATTGTGTTCATTTTGAACTTGTACATCTTGCTGCTACGAAGAGAGTTATATTGTTTTTTTTTATCTCTTGAACATTTTAGGTGCCAACTACCTACTTGCTTTAGATTCACTACCAGATGAATGTTTGTTACTTTAATTTTTTTATATCATATGATTTTCAAGCTCTTTTTTCACACCCTGGTGATTTGTGGATTGAAGTTTATCATTTATCTGTGCAGTGCAGACTATTGTGATGTTGACGAAAATGGAATGAAGTACATGGTATTATGTCGTGTATTACTGGGAAAGATGGAGCTTCTTCGCCCTGGAAGTGGACAACGTTTCCCTAGCAATGAGGATGTAGATAGTGGAGTGGATGATCTTCAGCATCCAAAATTCTATATTATATGGAACATGAATATCAGCACTCACATTTATCCAGAGTTTGTTGTTAGTTTCAAACTCTCCAATGCTGAAGGTGATATATTTCTCCTTTAGAATGCTGTTTCTTTGATTATATATTCATTCTTCCTTTATTTCATCTAACATCAAATTGGGAACTCTACGCAACTCATGGAACATGGCGATTAAATTTGATGGTTCCTCAACTGTTCAATGGATGGCAAAAGTTTAAGTTTGTTATTTAAGAATCAAGGCTTATTCCATGATGCGTTGATATCTCCTCTTGGTGGGGCTTTTAGTTTCTTTCATTCCAAAGGTCTCAATTCACTCCAACGGTCATTAGTTGGCTGTGTCTTCTGCAAGTTCTGTATGGCTATCACATGTTTCCTTTTCTGAAATGTTTCGAGTTCTTTAGCTCTCGAGGTTTATGTTGTTCCCACAGGGCATTTGATAGGAAGTGAGATTAATCATGCTGTTTCAGGCGTCACTGCATCTATGTATGGACTTCAGGGTCATTTACCAATGTTGTCATCTGCTGGTGAATTGGTGAGTAATTTATCTGTGATATGCTTCCCCTTCCTCCATACAGTTTGACATCACAATGGTCCAATGATAATTAGGATAATTAAGACTTGATTGTACTCTTTGGTGGACCCATGCTGAATGCTTTGGTCTGCAAGCTGACTTTTGAAGCTGGGTTTGTCTTTGCATCAATCCTGTCCTTGCACCTATGTTTTCTCATAATCAACTCAAGCCAACTCTGTGCTAATGATGGTTGCTGGTTGAATACGTGGGTTTGGACCTTTGATAATACTATATACATATTGACTCTATGTTCACTGTGATATTATTTTGTCCTTAGGGGAGTATTAATCGTCAAAACTCAGAATCAGGCAGGTCCCAAGAAAATGATCCTAGCCTGGGTTCAAGCACTTCAAAGACTCCTAAATCCCCTTGGATGCCTTTCCCAATGTTGTTTGCTGATATCTCGAACAAAATTCCTCGCACTGATATGGAGCAAGTTACTGATCATTATGAGCTATTCAGGGTAAGTTGAATAATGTGTTTTATTGTTAATTTCCTATGTTTTAGGATAGGTTTCTGATTCTTTTGCATTGTTTATTTTTCGGACTCTTCTATCAGGCAAAGAAGATAACTCGTGATGATTTTGTCAAAAAGTTAAGATTGATAGTTGGAGATAGTTTGTTGAGATCAACAATAACAGCTCTCCAATGCAAGGTACGGTTTAAACTTTACGGAGTGAGTTATTAGCTCAAGAATGAAAATAGCAATACGGTAGGTTGATTTGATATATAGTCAAACTGATGAAGTTTTCGGGGGATTTGCAGGTACCAAACAGGCAAGCTTTGGAGTTGGCAGGGCAGAACATGAAGGGTCCTGGCAACCTTTGAGTTTGGTGGAGTTGTTCATTTCGGTGATTGTTACATAATGTGTCGACTTGACATGATTTGATTCTTAGGTTTGCATTTTGCTCTAATGGTGTAATTGCTAGGTGTCTCTGCTAGTTGAGGATTTGGCTCTGCATAAAACTAAATCTGGAGACTTATTTTTCATGCCTAAGTGGCCGATTAGGGCCCCCTATCGTAGTTTTTTGTTGTTGCTTTCGATGTGGACGAGTTGCGTTATCATATACTATAATAATTGTTGCCTTGGACTTGTAACTAAATCTTCCGGTTGACCAAGGGAGATGTGATGAGAATATAGATGGAAATCGAGGTGGTTCAAAGTTCTAGACGTGGAATTCGACTAGTTTAAACCCAGATCAGCCTTTCTACTTGAAAGTGAACCTGGAAATGACTTGAACCTTAAATCATCAAACATCAAAACTTCGACCTGAAGTACAAAACATGAAAGTATTCAAACTTAAATGACCTTAAATTGAGGTTGACTCGAACTGAGATGATGAATCCGAAGTTGCCTTGAACTGACATGATCTGGATCGACTTGAAATCAACTTAAGTATGAACTGAATCCACGGTTGATTGCATATTATGATTTGAAAGAACATTTGTGAGCCCATAATGATATGAATCCGAGGCCATTTCTGACCTATGTATGATCTGAATCCACTGTTTATTGCATATTCAAACTGGAACGACCTAAATTTGGAGTTGACTTTAACTGAAATGATCGAAAATTATTACAATTTGACTTGACATGATTTAAATCCATTAGTTCAGTATTACTTTTAAAATAAAAGTGTAGTTTAAAATTTAACTGTTTGAGATTTATGTTAAAAATTGATTTTAAAAAGATAAAATGTTCATTTTAGAGGGCTGTGTTGTAAATTTAAAATATATTATTTAAATTATATTTATATTTTATTAATATTATGATATATGAAATATATCAGCTTAAACTATAATAAAAATAGTAAACATATTTTAAGGTAACTCATAAACAATATTTTATTAAAAAAATATATTATCAATACTTTTAAAATTTAAAACTACATCTGTGTAAGCATTTATCTTAAGATTAATATGGTAAAATTATATCAATTTAAACTATATCAAAAATATTTTTGAGATAACTTATTAATAATATTTTAATGTAACTTATAAAAAAATATAATAAAATTTTATTACTTGTAAGATAGAACAATTTACCCATTTAGTGAAGGTTAAAGTTGACATTTCCACTACAAAATTCCAATTTTTGGATTTGGGTCTAAAATCTCGTTTGTACCGCCGAAAATTGTTGAAAATGTATTTGTTTGGAATTGTTTTTGCTTAAATGAGTGATTTTAGGCTGCCAAAAGCAAATCCCAAATGGCCCTTAAATCAATTTGATTCGCTCCAATGATGGATGACTAAGAACAAGAAAAAATTACTTTAAGGTCATGCATGCATATTCAGATGATACATACGGTAAACCCTGGAGAAGGTTTCCTTGAAATCAGACTCTAGTATATAATTCCATTAGCTCTGCAATTCATATTCTTCTGCAGCATTAAATTTGATACAATATGCTAATGCGGCAGTAGCAGTGCCATAGGTAATGTAAAGCTTTACAACTCTAGATAAATTGACTGAGGATATGAAGCAGTAAAATTACTAACCAGTAACTATATTGGTGTGTAGAAAAATAATTAATTGGGCAATGTAGCAGGTGGCGGTGCATCAGTGGCGGCTGATGGATCCCATCCCGGTGGCTTGATGTTTGGCCAATCCCCATGACATCCTAACCTTATATAAAGGCTCTTCTTACCTTCAATTCGATTCAAAAAGGTTAAATAAAATAAAAATTGTTTTTTAGTATGTATGTATATATCCGATGCACACACACATGTAGCAACTATCATTTGATGGATGGATACATAGATATATAACTGGCAGTTTCTTGTCCGATAAGATTAACCGTTTGAGGGCACTTAAGGATGCCTGATCGACGCTTTTGGCATGGTCAGTATCCCAACCCTGAAGCTTCACAACCACATCAGCATTGGAGTACCCAACACTGCCATCTTCAATGTGCCTTCTCGCTTCCTCCTTTGCCGAATCCTTATCTGCATCGAGACTTCACGAGTTATACAAAATCATTCTACTTATTATTCCCAAGTATTAGGGGCCTGCTTACAGAAAACTAATTCACCGGCTAAAATGAGATGCATGGTATGTACTCTTAAAGTAACCAAAGCTTATATAACATCATAATTCAATTAAAAAAAACCTCAGTTGACTTGCTAGGTAACCATATCCAAATCAATTGGTCCCTCAACTGTTAATCGACAAGATGACTAAATTGAAAAGACAAATGCAAAATTACCTAATGCTTCGGTATGTGACAACCAAATGCTAAACCCTGAATAAAGATGTCTCCATTTATCAGTCCTTCCAGCAGCCCCGTGAGGCCCTCCTAAGGTCGCAACGACAGCCCGGACATGACTGCCAGAAAAAGCAAGCGAAGTGATGCCTCTATTATATGTACTTGATGACAAAAAAAGGAAATCAAAACATACTCCTTACCTACTTAAGCTTTCCAATATTGCACTTTCTGCTTCAGCCAGAGTCAGAGCCCTCGGCAAGCACCCCTGCAATAATAGATGCAAGCTGCTTAAGAGATAGCAACCAGAGTTCGAAGAAAACTGGCTCTTGAAGTCATTTAACATCAAGAGGATATAATGCAGATAATGATAAATCACTTTTTTACCCTTATGAAGTATAATTTGCAAAGGAGTATTTAGCAAAGATTCCTATAATGAATAGTGGCTAACATGATTGAATATGAACTACAGAGTAGTCCAGTTGCGGAAAAAGGTTTGCAAGAATTCACACTCCAAAGTTCAAGACAAGCTTAAAAATGGCAACTACCTGTCTCATCGGTGGTTTAATGGTACATGGATTACATGGAGATGTAGATGTGGGTGGCATAGTTATAGGCTCGTGGTGCTTATTGAAGTAAGATATATCAAACTTTTAGTACTACATAAATACACAGAAAGACAGAAGAAAGATAGGGAAACATATCCCATATCCATGAGCATGTATCATGTCTGTAACCATGCAGGCAAGAGGGAACTGGAGTCTAGTCATGTATCATGTATGTATTCATGAACATTTAGTGAAAAGATGTGCTCACATGAATCAACAGTTTGCTTGGTAAAAGTTTCTAACAATTCTTTCGTAACAAGTGGTGTGTACCTGAAATCACATGAAATAAATGTTGGCTTGTAATAATCTATTAAGAAAATCAAGATACAGTAAACATAGCTATAACATTGATATTGCTTTTAATGACTTAACCTAGAGTATTACTATGTCACTGAAGATTATGAACTTAGGGACTGTATTCCTTTTCATTGGCTGAAATGAGGATGACATGCAAGAAAAGGATTAAGGTTTACTTTAACAACACATGAAATGAGAAAGTCCACTTTAAAGAAGATGCAACAGATATTAACAGAACGGGTGGAACGCGGAGCAAATACCCAAGAGCAACAGCGAGTTCTCGGGCAACTGTTTGGTTAATTTCAGTAGAATCCCCAACAATGTAGATTGATGTTCCTTTAAGGAGTTGCATAGAACCAGCTGACAATGACTCCCATGATTCCTTAATATCCGGCCATTTCAGATCCGGATCCTGCTTCTTCAAGCTAATAACAAGTTGATCATCATCTATATACCTGTTTAAGACAATGCAGAAAATCTAAATGTGTAGAGATCTTATAACTAATAAAGTTCATTCATACTCAGTGCCACTAACCAAATTGTTTCAGCAGGCTTTATTTTCTCAAACAGACTATTAGTATCGATAAGTGTGGCGAAGGACCCGGCCTGCCGTACTTTAACAGTTAGAGAAGTACCATCCGCATCCACAAGTATGTCTTTGGCACTAACATCATCTTGGCCACCAAGTTGCAACCTTAATTCCACTTCAGAAGACCCATCAGAGAACTGTAACATGTTCCATGGAAAAATGACAAGAGAACATTCTCAAATTCATGAATTCAAAAAAAGAATCTGCTTTTCTGCTGACATAAATTGCAGCTATATACAAGTGTGATTCGTTAAGATTGAAGCTTAATTAAACTAATTGACATAGCGTATCTAGCTACCAGGAAAACAAGGAAGAAAGAGACAACAAAGTATAATACATTGAAACATGCAAAGAAACAAAAAGTTTTTTCCCCTTCTTTACCTCATAATGGGTTGTGTTGGAGGAGAAACAGTTGCAGGGACTGATGACGGGTCTCACTCTCACAGAGTTCCGGCGAAAGGCAGTAACTTTGGGTCTGGAGATGTGAAAAGTGTTCATTTTTGAAGAGAAATGAAGGGTTTTGAACGGCTTCTGCAATGAGAAACAGAGCACGGCACCGGCGCTCGCAATTGCACCAGCCATCGCTTACTTCATCTGCTCCCATGGGTAACAAAAGGAAAGAGACGGTATGGATAAGAATTCAGACACTCCTCCATTTCAGTAATGGGCTAAGTCCAACAGATTGAAGTCTGTTAGGCAAATGTCTTGAATGTTTATGGACTTCAAGTCTTTGAGGTAAGAAGTGGCCCAAGACATAACTTGTTCCAAGACTTCAATTGGGTTTAGTTTCTTACCAAAGTTGCAGCCATTGACATAAAAGAACATCTCCAAAGTTTGTTTTGGATAAGAGAATCTTACAAGTACTTCCACATATATACATTTGATCATGGTACTAAATTACAGTTGTAGTATTTGTTGTAAATGTTGTTATGAATGTTACAAACGTAATGTCGTAATTTATTTTTCAAAAATTATCATACCTTTAAATTATATACGTAATTATTGTATCATGATAATCTTAGAAACTGTTACGATACGATCAATACAAATAATGATTCGAGTATATTATAATAAAGCAAATAAATATCATTTAATATTCATTTACATGCATGATATGCATGGCAAACATTATCATATTACAATGAATATGGGATTTATTTGTCACGTCACCTTGCTTTGAATGCTCCTTACATCTTCCCCATACCCTTAGCTTCTCAATTAAAGCATACCGCATATCTTTTGACAACACATCTAATTTATTTCATTATCCCTTCAACCAATTCTCATTAAAATTCTCAACTTTACTTTTATATCTCCGTATTAAAGGTTTGGGCATCTCATCATACACAGTGTTGTTAAAATATGGTATATATGAGCATGTATCATTAATGCACTTCCAAAA